GGAAAGAGAGACACAAAGAAGAATAGAAGGAGCAAATATAAGAAGAATAGGATAGGGATAGCTGTGCTCTTCCAATAGATATTTTACAATTTCCACATGTACTACTTAGAAATATTAATTCACACAGAAACACTGACCCCAATTTGCATTAAATAAATCTTTAAATGAGGAAGCTTAAGGTGAAATGCTTACTGCGATAAGACCTCCGTTTCCAGGAAAACTTTCTGTCAATGGAATTTCCTCACTGGAAGGAAGCAGACCCTGCTTCTCAACCCACTGCCGTGCTGCATCAACAAGGTTGCCACTGCTTCCCCTGGTACCCTCTTTGGCAGCAACATCAGATTTGTTACCGATAACAATATAAGGGACAGGAAGACCACCAGGACCTCCAGAACTTAGAGGAGCTGAAAATGTTCCAGTTGCAGCAATCTCAGATGCCCATTTCTGCAAGCTTGTTTTGGTCCTTCTCTGGGAGAGATCATGAACAAAAATAACCCCTGGAGAAATTAAAGCAAGAATCATATGTAAAAGCCAAAGACAGCACGTCTTGCAAGTCACACAAGGGGAAGGGCTGCGATGGTTATGACAAGGAATATTCAGATAAAAACTGTCTGAATATTTTTGGATAAGAGGTGCTGAAATGAAAATGATGGTGTAACTATCATAACAAGCTTTATGGAATATCATTTCCACATTTACTTAGCAGAATTGCCTCTAAAGAACCCAATTTATCAGATAAGTAAGAAGTAGAAACAAATCTCTATACCATTTTCTAAATCTACTGCACTGCACCTTCAAGTGCATCGTTAATGAAATTTAATAATTGAATTAGGATGCAAACACAAACTTGCTTCCTGTAAGACTGGCACAAAAATAGTTAATGCCTGATTAAAAACCAAAGCCTTATCCAAATGATATCAACAAATAAGGATGCTTACAAGAAGGTTCCAAGGAGACAGAATAATATCAAACTCTTTTATCAATGAAAATCTACAGTGTAATTGTAGCTAAACAGAACATCCATGCCTACAAAGAGATGTAAATGTTTTTAACTGATGCATGCATAGCCAACGAATGCTGGTTATAACTAAATATGCATATAGAAAATGACCAAGTTTAGCAAATACAGTTAGCCATAAAGAAAAAACAGCACTCACCATTAATTTGAGAATAGAATAGAGACCGGCAATCTTTGTATCGGTCATGACCTGACACGTCCCAGAGTTCAACGAAGAAATCTCTCTCAGAGTCACCTTTAATACTGCTTGATGAGCTACTGGAATTACCATAAGAAATGTGCTGTAAAGAAGTGATGGTAAGAACTTGGTTAAAAATTTTGAACTCCAAACAATATACTACAAAGTTAATGTCAAATAACAAAGCCATATTAAACCATACCTTCACACCAACTGTACATCCAATTGTTTGAGGAGGGCAAGCGGAGGAAGAACCTTTGACAATAAGATGAACAAGTGAGGTTTTACCCACACCTACAAAGATAAAAATAAAAAATGGATTTGATCTCAGCTTCCAAAGAGGAGGAAAATAGTATGGATCATAGAGGAGAAATGACTTCCACTTCTTACAAGCAACCCACAAATCATGCAAGCAAATCACATGTCCTCCAACAAGTCACAATCAATGTGTGAGTTGAACAGAAGCAGGCACACTTGAGTTTACATTCTTTTATTTTGAGAACCAATATGCGGGGTTGAACAGAAGCAGGCACACTTGAGTTTATTTTGAGAACCAATATGCGGCCAACTGTTTTAACCTGTTACTATTTATTATTAATGGCTAAGAACAAATATTGAGCCCCACACATGCCAAATAATCCTAGAGGAGCCTCAACTGTTTAACATTATATCATCCAATTAACGTTCTTCCTTAAAGAGAGATTTACTAGGCCCAAAAATATAAACTAAGAGGAGTCTGAAATGTTCATGCCATCTGCATAACATGCTCTACACAGCTCCTCTATCCCTGCCGCACCAAAACACCAACAACCACAAAGGTAGTTGTTCTATTGTCCCTTATTTGAACAAAATCCAGAGCTGATTTCCCTAGCAACAGAGACTAGTTTTCTGTGAACAAAACTGCTACAGAGATAACCACAGAAATTCATAAATATTGATCAAGCTCCAGTTTTCTTTCCTTCTTCTGGCCTCAATCTGAAATATACTCTCCAGCCCAATATGTTTCCAGTAAATTAAAATAATAACTAGTCAGTATTCCTGGGAATTAAACTTGCACATCATGTTTGTAGAAGATGTTGATAATTGCAGCTGATATTTCACTTTACTATTAAGGCAATGCCTAATCTTGGTGATCAGAGTTGAAGCAAAAACCCTGGAGAGATTTGAAGGCCTAAATCAGTCTTAAAGTGCAAAAGACTACCCTCAACTCCGAATCTATAACAGAAACAATATCTCCCTACAAGCTCTTTAGATCTCACACTAAGAATGACACATGGTAACTATTGAATCATCATCAACTACATGTCATGCAAAGGATAATCAGCCCAACGCACATCACCCATCTTTTTTCGGTCCAAAATGGAGTATTTAGACCATCAATTAGTCATATTGGCAAGATTACAGATATCCAATCAGACCATCTGATTCCAATGGATTCCAGCAGAAATTGCATATGTTACTACTCAAAGTCCACTAGAGACACTCACTTCTATTCTTTCAAGAAACCCTCTAATACTATCCAGGTTCTATCTAAACTAGGATTTAGCAGAAGCATAATTCACCAATATCCCCTTACATAAAATTACCAATAAAACACGCATTGCAAATTCAATAAACTAAAAAATAGAGAGTGCAAATTAATAAAAAGAAAATTACCTGAGTCACCAACAACAAGAACTCGAACCTGACCACAAGGTGGTCCACCATTTTGATCCTTGTTTTCTCTCTGACGGTCCCTCCAAAACATAGTAGTAATGGTTTTCTTCTTCAAAACAAGCGTAAATCACTCCTTCAAAACTAGACCAGCAAAATAAGTACCATAAAAGACACTCAATCTCGACAAAGAACAATAAATTCTCCAAAACGGTACCCCTGAATTCAAGTCCATATCAGTACATTACAAGCAACCTAAAATGATCTAAGCTCATGTTTTCCTCGTATTGAAACCACCCAAAAATGGAGGGAAAACAAATAGCTATGATAAAAATGAATCTTCACAAAACCCAATAATAGTAACAGATCCAGCAACAAATTCTCCGATGGCTTTCAAGAAATACAGAATTAAGAAGTGGGTTTCTCTTCAAATTCGCGATAGAATAAAGTAAGAAGTTAATCTCTCAGTTTAAATTCAAGCTAATTAAGTTTCCCGTATGGTGGCAAGGCGAACTAGAAAAAACTGATCAATCAGATCATAGAAGATTTAAAAATAAAAAAAAAATAGAGCAAAATGATATATTTGGCCAGCAACTATTACGTGATCCTCAACTAGAACATAAAACTAAAATTATTTCCAATTTAGCCCCCAAAAAAAATCAGGCAATGCCATTTGTTGAACACTAGGGCCTTAAGCAAATTGAAATTGTGCTAGCCGACAAAATCACCCTCATCGATCGGTATCAATTGAATTCGATAGTTGAGTGTGAGTTTCATTAAAAAAAAAAAAACTCTTAATTGTATTTTGATAGGTATCTCATTCTCGATTTTTATCTTATATATTGTTTTATATTTTTATAATTGTTCTATATGTGGATTGGTTCTCTAAAATCCCCTCAATTGCAATCCATCTTCTAGGAATTGTCTAAATGAGCTCTAAAATCTTTTACGTGAAGTTCTTATATCATAAGAAATTGAATAACTCATTCTTAATTTTTTGTATTTTCTTATATTCTTGTAATTATTCGAGACAAGGAATTGGTTTTGAAATAATCTCTAGACTATATTAAAAAATAATCTCTAGACTAGATTACAGGCTCGAATCATGTGATGGATCAGATTTAATTTTTTAATATAAAATTTTTTTTAAATATTATAAGTGTTTTTTCTATTAGAAAAAATTTTCAATCATGTGGAAATTTACCTAATATAATTTGATTCACTTGGCAAGTCTAAAGATAATTTAAATAATCAATAAAAATATAATTTAACTCAAAATTAATATTCAAGATGGTATTTGTTTATAAATATTGAGACGACAACATATTAGATGGATTGATTAAAATTAAGTTATCATTCTTCATGCAAATCATGAGACCATAATAACCTTATAGAAAGTAAATTAAAATAAATTATGAAACTCAATTTTCAATAAACTCAATAATAAATAATGAAATTGAAAAAAAAAACTAATTAAAAAATAAAAAAAATAAACTAAGTCAACCTGAGTTAACTTGTCAAACTCGCGACTCAGATCATGAGACTACGATAATCCAATAAAAAGCCAATTAAGATAAATTATGAAACTCAATTCTCAATCAAATTAATATTAAAAGATGAAAATAAAAAACAAATTTATTAAAAATAAACTCGAGTTAACCCAAGTTTAATATAAAAGACTAGGTCATATTGGCATGAACATCATTTCTAAACTAGTTAAAAATGAACTGGTTAAGAGTTTACACATATAGTATTTAAAAAGAAAAGGTTATGTGATGCTTGTCAATTGAATAAATAAGGGGGAAAATCACATTTCAACCAAAAGATCTTTAGAATTACTACACATAGATCTTTTTGGACCAACTAGAACTAAAAGTATTAGTGGTAATTGATATGTGTTTGTAATTATTGATGATTTTACAAAATACACATGAGTTTTATTTTTGAAATCTAAAGATGATTATTCATAAATTTGTAAAGTTTTAAAAAAGAAGTTGAATATAAAAAAGATTTTTCCATGATAAATATAAAAAGTAATCATAATGGTGAATTTCTAAATGATTTGTTTGAAATTTTGTGTGAAGAAAAAAGATACCACCATAACTTTTCAGCTTTTAGAACTCTCCAACAAAATGGGGTCATAGAAAGAAAAAATCAATTTCTTGAAGAAATGACAAGAACTATATTAAATGAATTTCGCAAACCTAAATATTTTTGGAAATAATCTATAAACACTTCTTGCTATGTTTTAAATTGTGTTACTTTAATATTGGAGTTAAGAAAAACTCCTTATGAGTTTTGAAGATGAAAGAAACCCAACATCTCATATTTTAATGTTTTTCGCTCACATTGCTTTATTCTCTACACTGAAGATAATTTAGATAAATTTGATTTAAAATTTGATATAGGATTTTTTTTCATGATTATTCCTCCTCTAGCAAAGTATATAGAGTTTTATAATAATATAACACTTTATTTTAAGAAATCCATATATATTGTATTAAAGGAAACTTAAACTAAAAAAATTATTAAGATTCTAAATGACATAAATGAAAGTGTTCATCGTTTAAGTATTAATGATAAGATCCCTATAAAGGCAAACAATGAAGAAATGTACAAAGACCAACCAAACTCAAGCAAATAACAAGATATGGTATATAACTTTGTACCTCTAAATGAACTAAGATATATAAACTCCCATCTTTCTGAATTAATTATCAGTAATCCTTTCGAGGGACTAAGATTAGAGCTTCACTTGGAAACACTAGTGGTCACTTTGCTTTCGTTTTTTATATAGAACCTAAACCATTTCTAAAATTTAAAAATGATAGAAAATGGATTTTAGTTATGTAAGATGAGCTAAACTAATTTGAAAGAAATAATATTTGGAAACTAGTCCCTAGACCTAATAATCATTCTATTATTAAAACAAAATCCTAGAAGAAATCTTGAGGAAACATTGCATGCATTCATTGAAAAGCAAGAGACAATTAATACTCAACTTGTTCAAAACATGACAGATTTTAAAGATACTCTTGCTAAATTAACATTTGCTCTCAGTTTCCAAGAGAAAGGTAAGTTTCCATCTCAACCACAACAAAATCCCAAGGGGCAATACAATGCAAATGCAAGTAGTTCCGGAAGCCAACACATGGATCAAGTCAAATCAGTCACTACTCTGCGCAGCGGTAAGGTTATTGAAAAACCCTCTCTTGAACCTTATGAGAAAGATTTCTTGCTCTTCCTTTCTCTCTTTGTATTTTTTGTAATGCTTATGCTTTGCTTTCTTTATTATTAAGTTTATGCCTTTCTTTTCCTTTCCTTTACTTAGTTAACTTTTATGTTCTTATTTTGTTTATCTATTTTGCTTTCTTTCATTATGTCTAGCTAAGTTAGTTATGTCAAGGTGAAAAGGTTAGCCATTGAATTTTATTATCAACCACTTGCTAATATTTCAGGTATTAATAATGATGGATCTAAAGCATTTGAATTGAAGATTATACCTATTATAAAAGGTTTTATGTATAATGAAGCAGTTGCATTGCATATTGGTAAGTATGATTTTGCTCTAGATGCTAAGATTACGAGTTAAGATATGTTTTTACAATCTAAGATTATCCATAGAATCATAACACTTAACATTTTGTCAAAGAAAAGATATTATGATGAGGTTATATTTATGGATATATGCTTGATCTATTGGATAATTAGAGCTCATCAAATAAATCTTATATACATTACGATCAGAAATATAATCATGACACATGATTAAAAGCATAAATCTCCTTTTTATGGTTAAGTTTTCACATATATATATTTGAGCATTTTAGGATTTTTTTTAACAAGCACAAATAAAAACTTGTATTCTAAGCTCATAAAGATAGATAATAAAACTCACACCAAGATGAAGTATATTTTGAATGAGGATGGTACTTGAGTTTCCAAGGACAATATAGGATGTTAAAGGCAAAAATATAATGTTGATAATGATGTCAATTTGAAGCAATATTTGAGATACCACTAATAACTTCCTCACTAAAAGAGATTTTTATGAGTACTTTGACATCTAGGATGGAAAACAGCCTAATACACCTCGAGACAAATGTGCGTCATCTTAAAGAAACTCAATCGCACATATGAGCTACTCAAGAGGAAATAAAGAATGACTTAAAAAATATCAAAATCATGATGGCTAATCTTTTATCTCAATATCCGCCACCCTAGATTGTATACTAGAGTATATGCACTTAACTTTTATGTTTTATCATTTTTTATTAAAAAAACTTTGTATTATTTTGGAGATTATGTAATGAACTTATCATTTCTAATTTCCATTACCTCCATTTTATGAATTTTTTTGACAAAAGAGAAGAGAAATGTAATTTGCATGTGTGCATTCCATTGCAAAAGGAGAGAAAAATGTTTGATAATATATGCTTATATTTAGGAGGAGAAACTTGATGCATATGTTATTACATTACTTTGATTGTACTAAATTGTTAAAGTTTCTTATATATCACATTGCAAAAGATATGAAGAGACACAATTTAAGCATTTAAAATATCTATTTATTGTCATCATAAAAAAAAAGAGAAGATTGTTGATCTTTAATGTCACACAATCATATTTTTATATATTTTGATGATAAGAATAAAATAAAAAATAAACTAATAATATGCTTGGTTAAAAATAAGCTTTAAACAGGTTTTAGATATTAAAAAAAAAACATATTAATAAACATGATGAATTTCATGATGAAATCAATAAAAAAGAAAGCAAAGTGATGACTTACATTAAATATTTATTTTAGTGATCAAATTTAAATCTTTACATCTTGCTTGATAGCACAATTAAAATGAACACACACACCTCATTCTGCATGCATTAAAAGACTGATAATAAAATCTAAGAAAGATAATTAAATTGATAAATCTTGAATTCTTTATAAACCAGTCCATCGTTTTGGTGTGATCAAATGAACATATTGATCTCTTATTCATCAATACCTAACTATGGTTTTGTACTTGAAATATGGGTTTAAACTTGCTGAACCATGATAAAAATAAATTTGCAAATTCTATTTCTTATATCCTTATTTTAAATACTTTAATTATATTATTGATTATTTTGTTTACTTAAAGTAATTTGTATTAATTTTTGAATTTAGAGATACTCCTAATCCATCCCTCATTTTAGGTGTTCAAATCCCTTAATTCTAGAACAACAATCTCTAGTATCAATTGACCTTGATTTTGATATATTGTGCTTTTAGAAGATTGCAACTTATAAGAAGGATATCTTCACTACCCTTATTTTTCAAAGCAAAGCAAAGATTGATGTTGGTTTATAAAGATATAATGTAAAATCTTATAATATTTTGGTTTTCTCTACAAAATATTACTTTAGCTAATAAAATAATATGAAAGGTTATAAAGTTGATAGAGATTAAAATCTATTTGGAAAATATTAATTCATTTACCCTAGTTGTAGTTGTGTTGGGTGACCAATATGAAAGTCAGAATGGTGGAGTAGAGAGTAAAAGGGAGTAATACTTATTAGATAGTAAAGTAGTAATATTTAATATAAGAGTATTTGATATTAATTGAAATATAATATTAATTTTGTAAATAAATCAATTTTTATTGACTTTTTCTTGACATGATATAAAATGTTATAAATTTATAAACTCAAGGATATAAATTATAAGTTTTAAAAGAACAGAGGCATACTATGAAGGAAAAAAAAATTATGATTAAAGTAATTTTATCTTCATTTAATATCAAAATATTTATGATGCATAAGGTAAGTAAGAGAAAACATATCAAAGCATATTTAAGTACATAAAATCATGGAAATATAACTTCCAATGATGAAATTAAAATGAAAAGAAAATTAGTAATTGGATTGTAAATGTTGCAAACTATAGGGATTAAGTGAAGAATCGAGGAAAAAAAATACCTAGAGAATTATTAGTATTTTGTGAGTGGTCAAAATGGACATTGTCTTTGTTTTTTGCAGTAGTTGTATGTAAGGCAATTTTTGAAATGTATTTTTATTTAATTGTATGGTAAGAAGAATAAATATTTTTTTAGAATCACAATGACACTATAAACAACACTAATATTTTTAGTCAAAAAATAATTTTTTTATCAATGCATTTATTTTTTATTTTGATGAAAATATGTTTTTCTTATTAAGTAGCATGATATTTTGAATGAAAATCCAACTCGAAATAAACATTCACAAGAATTCAAATGTTTTTAATCGAGGAGAAAAAACATATTTCTTTAACCAAAAGCCTAATTTCTTATTCATGGTTTTTTTGCGAAAATGTGTCTGCAAGAATGATTTTTAAACAGAAACTTGGCATACAAAAAGTGGATTTTAATAAAAATAAATGTCATAATAGCTTTGACGCAGTAGTATAAAATATAAAAATTAATTTGATAAAATCATATAAAAATTAACATGTAAAATAAAATAAATTATCATTGAATATGCACGAGTAATCTCTTAAAAAACATTTTAAAACTAGATATATATATATATATATATATATATATATTGATAATTCTATCATAAAAAGCTTAAATCTTACTTCAAAAGTAAAACTTTTTATTGTAAAATGAGTTCTTAACATTAATTAAAGACTAAAATAAAAAGTTGAATTATATTGTAAAAAGTAAGAAATAGATGCATATGCAAATATTTCAAATGTCATTTTTATTTTATTCATTTTCTCTTATTTATTTTAGAGGCATATATACCCCATCTATTTAAAAATTAAGAGGAGCAGGTTATTTACATATTTTTTGAGTAATTAAAATAAATAATCATAAAACTTCTTCTCGTTTAAATTCTTAAAAAAATTATTTCTCTTGTCAATATTCATTTTTGTTATTTATATTTTTTTTATCACGACAAAGCAATAATTTCTCATTATTAATAACATGATTCTTTGAAAAAACAAACTTAGAAAAATTAAAATAAATATATACATCAAAATTCAAATGATTTAAACTAAGTAGAAAAAACACATTTCTTTAGCCGAATCCTCATTTTCTCTATTCTTTAATTTTAAAAAAAAACATTTTATAGGAAACATGTTTTGTTTATGTTTTTTTTTTTATCAAAAGAACAAATATTAAGAAAACTTATTATGAGTTATAAATAAATTACAAAATAATATTATGATTATTTTTATGTGATTGTATAAAAGAATAATTGATTAGGAAATATATATATATATATATATATATATATATATTATTCTCAGTGAATATTTCTACCAATTTATTTTAAACATGTGCTCATTAGTTTCATATTTAATTATTTAAAAAAGTAAAAATTAGAATTTAAAAATATTACGATAAATAGCCAAAATATTATTAAAAAGCATGGAATAATTTAATAATTTTAAATATTATTATAATTAATTATCTAGATAGTATTTAATTTAAAGATATGTAAAAAAACAAAAAGGCTTAGAGAACCAATCTCACAAGTAGTTACGCTTAAAAAGATGGCACATATGTGTTCGGCCCTATAGCCAAGCCCATACGCATGAGATTTAGAGTCTACGCTAGTTATTTTTATTGATTATAAATAATGTATTGTTTGTCTCAATTATTTTTGGTTATTAGATTTATTTTTAGTTATTGAAAAATTAAAGTCCGATTTTTTAAACTAAAAATATTAGATTTTAACATTTCTCATTGGAAAAAAAATTATATGAACCTCTAGAACCTCATTTCTAATTATAAAACATATTTTAATGGGACTACAATCTATATATATATATAATTTAAAAATTATTCACGAAGCCTAATCTGGCTTTTCCAACGTCATTGAAGGTCAATACATGTGTGTAAGGGGTTTCATGTAAATACTTAACCAATTAGGATTGCAATATCTGCGCAGAATCTTTCCCACAAATAATAAAAAATAATAAAATAGAAACTTCTCTGGAAAAGCTAGTTCCTGGGGTTGAAAGCGAGGGAAGTGGATCACGCGCAAGATTAACGCGTTGTTGTATCCATAAAAGAAAAGGGCAAAATGCTGCTGTTGAGAGTGGGATTTGAACCCACGCCCTTTCGGACCAGAACCTTAATCTGGCGCCTTAGACCAACTCGGCCATCTCAACACGTTTATAAAGTGTTCGAGTTATTATAATGTAATGTATATGATCGCTATCCGACCTCAAATCAATTGTGAACTTCTCTCACCAGCCTGCATTCTTACGGATAGGGTTTCTTGTCTGAGTGAGTGAATCATGAAATTTAGTTTCCAGATTTATATAAATAATGTTTATTTTCATTGAGGGGTCATTTAGAGAGATTGAACAGAGGTAAAGGAGAATGTTAGATCGATACCCTAATCAAACTAATGGGATAAATGCACTTGCTTTACTGGTATACGTGCCCTCCCTCCTCCTCCTTTTTCCAATTTTTTTTATCTCAATTTAGTTTTACCTTTGATTTTTTTTAACAATTTTCCAGATTGTTCTTGAACCACCTAAGTCTACTTAATTACGTTAAGAAAACTCTCACACCATTTGATTTTAAATTTAAATTAGATAAAAAATTATTAATTTTATCATTTTTTTTGCCTGGTTGACTTGGCTGTGCTGCACTAGAATTTTCATAGTTTTTAATGTTTTCTAGTAGTTGAGCTAGGTTTTAATTGGACTGGGTCAAGATTTCTCCGAGGATGAATTTACAATTTTCGGACTTCTTTTTTAGGTTTTTTTTTTTTGTTTTCCCTTTGTTTCTTATCAGTTGAAACTTACCATTAAGCCCAGCCTTGTGGATATGACCATAACCAAAAATTTATGTGTGCCCGCTAACGCATCATTCTCATCCAAATCACTATATTATAGGGAAAAAATCACTATAATATAATATGCATGATGATTTTAATAGCTAAATAACACTATCAAAAATTAACAAATAAAAACAAAAATATTGATGGTATTTTTCTGTTGATATATTATAATGATATTTATTGACTGAATTTTTTCATCGTTAAATCCATTAGTAAACATCCATATATAGATATTTTGAACTAGGAAAAGGAAGAAGAGTGGAGAGAAGAAGGTTGCAAGGTCCAAGCATTAGAAGCCATGAGAGGCATCTGGTTATTGTAATAGACCATGCAAGGGCTCTCATGGTTGTGCACTCCATCATATGAAGTCAACACATATCTTGAGTCTTCTCTATCTCTTTCTACTCTCTTCTTTACATTGCATCCACTACTTGAGCATTTGTAGTAATTCCTGCACAATTAATTACAGAAATCAACTTAGAATAACAATGATATATAAAAACCATGTTCAGTATCAAAGCATGTGTATAGCTAGAGAGTCTAGAGACTCTGGCAATCTTTTCATAATCCTTTCTATTCTTTTACTTTGTTTCTAAGAATGACTGTGCAATCTTTTCATAATCCTTTCTATTCTTTTACTTTGTTTCTAAGAATGACTGTGCAATCTTTTCATAATCCTTTCTATTCTTTTTTTTTTTTTTCTTCCAAACAATCACTAAATCTATAAATTAATGAAGATGCATGTAGGTTTGGGTGGTGGTCATGATCATACGAATAATGCGTTTTCAGCTGTAAATCTTAAGAAATGGGATCGTGGGCCTGCCCACATAAATCATTGCTATGTTTTCCTTCTTAAAGTGCTAGGGGAGATTAACTAGACTCTTCACTCTACTCACAGGTTATAAAGTACGCTCAATGCCGATGTATTTGCACCATAACGATTGATGGAGACTTTCATTCCTGTGGATAATGAGTGGGCTTTCATCTATATATATATATGGTTGTTACAACTTGACAGATGACAAGTCATTATAATTTATAATAGTTTATTTCATTATAATTCAGAAAATTACAAAACTAAACACAAAAAATCAATTGTTGGAGTGGGGTGGTTCCAATAATCTCATATTGGAACCACTATTCTGAACTTTTGTATTCAAGCATGTATAATTGCATCAAATCCATCCAATCTCATGCCATTTTCCTCGGGGCATTTTCCTTACACAGTCACAAGTGAAAGTCTATAAGAATCGAAATATATATAGAACAGTCCCTAGCTACTCTTACTTTACTCTGATTAATTCATAAAACAAATGAGCTGTTTGCTGTTCCATCTCTAATGGATGCAAGAGATTAAGTTAATGGGAGAGTCTAAAATACCGAGAGAGTGCTATGAAATCAGGTAAGATTCACTTGAATAAGACTACTATTTATCAATGAAAAGCCCCGAAAGCAGGACATTATTAAGTTTCCCAGCAAGCTCCTGGACCACATGCATATAGCATATATATAGTAGATATATACATGGAGAGCCATGGCAATATCCCTTCATTACTCTCAGTGCACTGGCTGCAAAAGATGTCTTAACTGGCAGGACTAGTGTGTACATTTATGCTTATCGACGAATAAATGGAGAACTCAAGCAACACAACACGTACAGACACTCGGGCTAGATGTGTGTGTGTAATGTGCAGATAGGGAGATGGGGATAAAAGGCATGTTGATATCTTCTTAGCTAGATAGGTGCGCTGGCACTCTATATGATGTGATCGGTGAGCCTTCAGTGCTGCGAGCAAAAGTTTTAGACACGAGTGCATAAAACCATGGGCTGCTTTTTATGGGTTTCATGTGAATGATGCCCTTGGTCGCTCTTCAGCCACCATCTCTGGTCTCTCAACTGCGGTGGTGACTGTGAGAGTGTGGGCAGTAGTGGCCTAAGAATCCCAAGTGCAAATTGCAAAGTAGACGATAACTGATGTTTTATGAAGGCTAATTAGAGAAGTTGTTGTGCCTATTCAAATTATTAAAAAAAGGTTATATTACTGCAGCCAACCTAATCTAAGGCCATCAATTAAGAACTTCAGAGAAATGGATCCTTGAGCATTAAATATTTCTTATGTATTATAGTTATTTAGTACGAAAATTTTGAGATAGTTGAGAATTGCTTTATCAAAGCCATAAAGATCATGTACATGAGATCCCAGATAGCTTGACCACCTATGAAAATCTCCTGAATTAACTCCATTTATAAATATAAATTTTTTTAAAAAAATTATATTTCTACATTCTTACCTTGGATTTGGGCTGTTCTTGACTGACTTCTTTCCATACTTCCTCCATTTAAATCCATCATCCATGATCTCCAGCTCAGATTTTGTTCTAAATGCAACTCTATGCTCCACTTCTCTCTTGTTTTTCTTCACTCCATTCCTGCATTTTCTGTACAGATACCAAAAAAAAAAAAGTTGTAGAAAAGATTAGCATCTTGGATCTTCAAGAAACAAAATGAAAGTTAATCTTTATTTGCATCTTCAGTTTTTCCTTAGGAAAAAAAATTAAAGAATTAGCAGTAGAATAATATAAAATGGGCATCAATATCATCACTTGCATGCTATTATTTCTTGATGTTGCACCACTGTATCCGGTTGATGAGCCACTGGCAACTTGCTCCGATGATACCATATTTTGCGAGGATGAATCATCTTCACCAAATCCATCATCAAGCATGAGATAATCCGACGGCTGAAACTCAATCGTCCACGGATCTAAACCTTCTTTGATATAAGAATAATTACAGCTAGGTTTAGGGTTCTGATGATAGTCCATTACTCACAGAAATGGCGAGCCTCTGGACACAGTGGTGCTTATAGAGAGGGACACGTATTAAATATGGTGGGCATGCTTCCAATATATATATATATAAAATAAAGTGAAAATATCTATTACAAAACTATGGTTATTTTTAATTCTTTTGATCTGCTCTCCTTCCTAGACACCATCCTGGTGAGTTACAATGAAGGTGCCTCAAGCGTGCCACGTGCCGACTCTTGGCATGGCATGGTGATGTCATCAAGATGACGTCATTGTGCTGTATTGGGATTTGGGGACCACATGGTAGCGAACGTGGATTATAATTAATAATTCGTGTTGTTGATGGAGGGCAATTGATGGGGAGTGGCATTGGGTGTTGCTACTCATAGCTAAGGAATATATATATATAATCCATCAATTAACCAGAAATTTTCAATCACTTTCCTATGTTAGCAGGAATATTGCACGAATGAGCATGTTTTTACGCTCATATAATTAGGATTTGCTAGATAAGTTGTTTGTGATACATCGCAGTCTCCTTTTTAGCACGCACGAGAAGTTTCATCAGTCTAGTAGTTGAAAATGTACATAAAGTTGTTAGTGTGTTTTCGGAGGTAAAAAATTCTAAAAAAAATAATTAAAAAGCACTTTTTATATATTAATAAGATAACAATATATATAATGGATTTAAGTTAACTCAAAAAATATATAATTTAGATAATAAGCTTTGTTAATTTTTTTAATAACTTTTTGAAAGTGTTTTTATTTAATGATACGATAACAAAAATAAATATTTGTATCAAGCATCAATTTACCAACAAAATATTTATTTGAGATTACAATAAGCTTACAAATTAAAATAAATTATGAAGTGCCCAACTCTCAATCAAATAAATATTTAAGAATAAAATTGAGAACAAAAATAAATAAACAAAAATCTCATATTTAAGAATGAAAATAAATAGAAAAGAAAAGGCAGGCATTTTTTAAACATTTTAAGAAACCTTTATAAAGTTAACCAAGATAAATCTTTAGTTTTAATCTTAAATCAAATAAATATTAATAATAAAAAAAAATAAACAAATACAAAAAAGTAGATCATACTAAATGCATAAGCTTGGTTTTAAAAAAAAAAGTAAATGAACACAAAAAAATAGATCATACTAAATGCATAAGCTTGGTTGTTCTAGTGCATCTAGGCTTTAAAATAAAAAAGTTAGTAAGGCAAGTTTAGAGCAAGCCTAGGACAATTTATTTTATTTATTTTTTTAAAAAAATCATTTTTTTTATATATAAAAAAAGTAGGTGACAAGTCGCTTGTAATTGCAAAAAACTTGTCACCAATCTACTTAGAATATGATCACTATAGAGATGTCTAAAAAATCATGGGGGGTGTTTTAGCATAAAAACTTATTTCAATTCAATTTCATCTAAAAATATTTCTAAAATTCTTAAAAAAAAAAATCTATTAACCTAAGAAAACCAAAAATTAATATAAAAACATAAAACCAAACAGGTTAAAACTTTCTCTCTCCATTCTAATATATTTTTTTAGGTATACAAAATCCTAAAAATATTTCAATAACACTCTTTTTATTTTAGAGGAACACTTTGACACTAATTTTGTTAATTGTTTTGGACACAATCAATTAATTATTATTATTATTATTTTGCTATTTTCTAGCAACTCTCTTTTCTCTCTAAAACTAAAGGATCAAAACATAAATAAACTAAAGTCTTAGATGAAAATGCAAAACCTCAACAAAATAGGATTTAAATTAAAAATAAATGAAATAAGGTATAGGGAATAAAAGTGCTAACAAGGTTCCCCAGCTACAGTAACCCCATGAAAAGAATATAGGAATCTGTTTGCAATTTTAATTATATTTAATTAATAAAAAAGAATTTGGTTTTATCAAATTGACCGTTGATTTAATTGAGGAAACCTTTTTTCAAATGTTGTGACAAACCATCATTAACCCTAACCTTAAATTAACTAAATTTAAAAGGATTAAATTGAAAAAAAAATCCTAAGCAACTAAAAAAATAAAAGGACCAAAACAAGGAAAAACATTATCTTCTTTTGGTTTTTTTATTTTGTTACTAAATTTTAGTGAGTAATAATCTTTTAATTATGTTATTTTTAATCATTAATACATGAGTTTACTGTAATTAATTTAGTCAATACGAACATAAAGATTTTGAATTATCCTTTTACACAATAATTACCTTTTTTAGCTTTTATAATTAAAATATAGTATATATCATACACTGCTATTAGGTGAAAAATCTTTTAATATAAAAAAAATTAGGTCAAAAGAAACTTTTTGATAGTATTATTAAACCATGTTTAGTATGACATCCTTAAAATCTCTTACTCGACTCTTTATTTAATTCGGGTTATTAATTAAATCATTTGAAAGTTATTCTAATGTGATCATTTTCACTTGCATGTCTACAAGTAATCTTGAAAATTAAAAATAATATTGAATTTATAAAAAAAATTCAAGATGTTTTTTTAAAAAAAAAATGAAGACAACGGCATAATAGATAGACTCGGATTTCAAGGTTTAACCTCTTAAATTCACATTTTGGTCGTGGACTCTATTTGGTTTAATAATTTCTTATATAATATATTTTTTACTTAATCATATAATAACAAAAATAAACATTCACATAATTGAGCACTAACTAAATACCACGATATTTGTTTGAGACCACAACTATCCTATAACAAGCAAATCAAAACATTCATAAAATTAAGCACCAACCAAATGTCAAGATATTTTTTGAGACTGCAGTTATCCCACAATAAGTAAATCAAAATAAATTGAATTTAAATTTAAAATCAATAAAATATTGAAAGATAAAATTAAAAAATATCAATAAATAATTTTAAAAACCCTAATTTTCAAGGATAAAATTAAAAATCAATAAAGAAAAACCCAGGCTAAGCATTGATAAGCCAAACCCAAGCCTTTAGCCTTAATCAGGAGTAGACAACGAGTCATCCGCTCCTGTGATTTTTTTAAAGCAAGTGATAGGTCACCTAAAGTGGTAGATAACCTCTTGTCTACTAGGCTCTAACCTAGAATTCTACCACCGTTATGATGCCTAAAAAATCCAGGGGGTGTGATGTATCCTCTTCTTAATTATAACTTTTGACAACTTATCCAACTTTGTTTCTAACTATTGTCTCATGTTTATTAACTTTGTTCTTAAATACCCATTTAGTTCTAATACTAGATTAGCTGCTAGGTCTAAGAACTAGTTCCTAAATATCATTTTTTTTTAATTGGTTTTATTCATCTTGCATAGCTAAGATATAATTTTCATTCTTTTTGGCTTTTAGAAATTATCCAGACTTAATATGAGGAACAAATGCATAATGACCACTTCTATTTCTAAGAGGTGCTTTAGTCTTAATACTTTTAAAATGATTACCAATAATTAACTCTAAAGAATGAGAGCTTACATACATTAGTTTCTTTAGAAGTACAAAGGAGTTACTTGTCATCTTTTATTGATAACAAATACAAAATATGTTAGTATCAAACATTAAAGTCCATATTAAGTTTACACTATACTTATTCTTACACCATTAGTGTAACATTTTCACCTTAACATAGTAAACTTAGCTAGACATAATAAAATAAAGAAAAATAAATAAACAAAACAAGAACATAAACAAGATAAAAGTTAACTAAGTAAATGAAAGGAAATGAAAGGCATAAACTTGATATTAATGAAAGCAAAGCATAAAAAATACAAAGAGAGAAAGGAAGAGCATGATCTAGATCTGGAAACCAAGATGCCTAAATACATGGCAAATGCCTCCTTTTATAGGCCAAAATTGGGAACTATTGATTTGATGACTAATTGATGAGTGGGTGGCCAACTCTTGACTTGGTGACAATCCTTATCTTCTCTTGTCTGCCCAAAACGTCATTGATAACGTCAAAATTGGAGCCAGTTGCAAACATGAAAGTTGTAGGCAATTGTCTCAGCTTTCTTGTGTAAAAAATTCAGCTCATTTGGACTTCTAGAACTCCAGATATGGCCAAAATACCGAACAGTGCTCGGGCTGGAAGACAGATTCGGGCTTCTTTGTTGTTGCTACAATTTGGACTTGATAATGGCCTTTTTAGATCTTGGGCTCCATATGAAAGTTGTAGGCCTATGTCTTACCTTTCCATCCATATAAATTGGACCTAAATCTGAGATATATAGCTCTAGATATGACCCAATTACCGAACAGTGTTCCGGTTTGGATTGCACCGACATCTCTTCTCTAAGTTTGACCATCTCTTTATCCATGCAATTTAAGTTCTTCAAGTCATCAATCAATCCTTTCATTTATGTGATAGACCTGCATTAAAAATAGACATTTACCACAAATTAAAGGTATCTTATATTATTAGATACATTATTATAAAACATATTTTAGTTAAGGAGTTATTGATACTTCAAGTGCAAAATGATGATATAAAACCATGATAAAAATGCACTTTTAAGTACTAATCACACCCCCCAACCAGCTTATTACTAGTCCCTAGTAATCAAAGCGTAAAATAGAAAAACAATTTGCAAATTCCACAAAGCAAGGTATTCATCATTTAACTTCCATTAATCTATCCAGATAAACAAACTCTCATTAAATTTATATATCTGCTCAATACCTCTTAACAAGATATTAATAAACCTTTCTTTTGTGCTCAATGTATCAACACATAATTATGGGGCTTTTCTTGGAAGAAAACAAAATTTTTGTTCTAATGTTTAAGGTTAACTTCCTTGGGTTGGGATTACTATTTTTGTCTTTTTTTTTTTTAACTCTATATACATATACTTTAAAAACATCATGCATCTTTAACCCATGTAACGAGCTTTCAGCTAATGACTCCCAGACCAGTTGGTCTTAGGGCATTAGGTGTTAAGACACCCCTACGAGCTTAGTAACTCGGGTCGCAGATACTGATATGTAGATAGTGCAATGTTTGATTCCCTTAAGCTTTTCTCCTCAACCCATGTAACAAGCGTTGGGCCAATAGCTCCCAAGTCAGTTGACTTTAGGGTATTAGGTGTTAAAACACCCCT